CACATATCATATTAAACTTGGTTTGGTGGAATAGATGACATGTTCCATGTGAAGCACTGTGTTAATATCACAACTCAGAACTAAATGTCTGAAGTCAACTAATAAATACTACATGATATAACGGACTGTGACTGTTTTTGTAAGGTGCTGCAGATATCATGGAGATCAAGAGCTGCACAGTTTCTCGGTCATCCATTCGTCAAATCATACCAGAGCTACTGTTTGAAAAAGGTTAAAGGCACCTAGTGGAGTTTTGTTCCTCTCTTGAACGTGCACACGAGGGTGACACAATACAGTCCTTCCAATGGTGTGACACTATTCCAGTGTTTAACAGGTGGCGGTAACACACAAAGATATCATGTTGCAATGAGCCAACAGAGACCGGGAAAGAGAAGACTGCAGGGTAGTAAACATGGTTGAAAACAATGTGGGATTTGCACATTTTATGAGGACGCAAATAAGATAAGATAGACTTTATTGATCCCTCACTAGGAAATTCACTTGTTACAGCTCCAGATATAAAAAATAGAATGAGAGTTGTACCTATGTACAAATGAACTGAACACCTTTTCTAGACCACAAGGATTGATACAATGCATTTTGGTGAGTAAGACTGAATGTACCAGAACTTATTTTAAGCCACAGGACAATTTCTTAGATCCATTTTCATACTTTACACCAGAGGGAGCACTAGTCCATCAGTGGACACCCTTGTTCACCAAGTGAAAGCTGTGGGAACAATGAATTTAGTTCAGCTGTGTCACTGTGGAGCTCGCCAGGATCAGTAGAGTTGAAGCATTATCTTGTATTGTATCTAGTATTGAAGTAATCTTGTCCCCTCCACATCGGCAGATACCAAAGTAAACCCGAGGCTGCCTAATCACTACAGTCCTGTGCAATTTCTCAGCCACGGCAGAGCAAGAGCAATGGCAAAGTGAAATGGAAAAGGAACAGACACTTAACCTTCGTGTTTCATTGGAGATCCCAATGCTTGTGTGTGTGTGTGTGTGTGTGTGTGTGTGTGTGTGTGTGTGTGTGTGTGTGTAAATAAAAAGTCAACCATTTCTTACACATCACTTTTCTCCCCCTTTTCTTATGACCTAATTAAAACCCAATATGTGGTTACCCTTCGGTAATTTTGGGATGCACATTTCATGAAGGTGATTTACGGAAATTATATTACAGTATTGTTATTTCACAAAATACTATGATGTAATATAGGCTGTGGCTCAGAGGTAGAGCGGGTTGACGGTTCGATCCTCTCGCCGAATGTCGAAGTGTTGTTGAGCAAGATACTGAACCCCAAATTGCTCCCTGTGTGTGTGTTCTGGTGATCCATCAGTGGGCCAATGGGGTGAGTGTGGCATGTACTGTACAGCGTGGTTGAGAGACTAGAAAGACGCTATATAAAGTGGGGGTTTGCTTTTTAAAACAAAAGTCATATCCACACCATCACAGATATAGACTATATAATTGTATTGTATTTCACCAAATACTGTAACAAGGGTCAAAGAGCCAGAAAAGAAACCAAATTGTAGCAGGTTTTATAAACATATCATCACTTCAAAATCATCTTTATAAACATTCCTCATACAACTAGCTAAAGTCACAATGTAACAAGCTGATACACTAACTGGTTACATGTTCTTGTTTCATGCATTAAGCTCAAGTGTAAGCCTAGGGGACTGCATTGTTAGGCCCTGACTGAGAAATATGAGATTTTAAAGAGTGTAAAATAGAGTTAAGTTGTGTCTGATCCATGTAGTTGATGTTCCTGGTCCCACTTGTTGACATCTATTTATGACATCTTGTGAACCATCCCCTCCAGCCCCAAGGGGTGTTGACCTCTGACCTTCCAGGAGGAAGGCGATATAGATTGGACCCAGTTACCAAAGCTCCCGAACAAAACACTGACCGTCCTTTACTCTGAGCATTAGCTTAGCATTTAGCCAGTATTTTGATCACCTGAACCGTGATGTGAAGATCACGTGTCAGGTAGTCGGTTAACCAGGTCAAAACAAAGACGAAAGACGATTTTGTTGTGCAAATACATACTATTATGAGATGATACCTGCCTTACAGACCTGACTAACTAGCTACAGCCAAAGGTCGCCTTATTCGGAGGAGAAAGTTGTGAATGCATCTTTACAATGGAGCAGATTCAGGCCGGGGGCCAACAACGCTGCATGTTAACAATGGAGGTCCTCATTGTGACTTTTCTTCAACACAAATACCAACGTAGACTAGCTACATTTACACGCACTCCTCTGCCGCTTACCTTGGACGTGAGGGTCATTTTATCTCCGTTTTGCGGCAAATTCCCGTCCAACACAAAGTTTTGTTTCGTTGCATGAAAACCAATGAGAGAGGTGGATTTAAAAAACTAACCGCTAGAGAAGCCTGCTGATTGAAAGAGTAGGGGTTTTCGTGATGGTCGGTTTGAACTCAAATGTGTTTCTGAAGCCAATAAAGGTAATTTCGAGATTCCGCTAACAGTTAGACGCTTAAAAAAATCATCGCTCTCTTCCATTGTTTAATAAAAGTGTTTCTCTCTATGTTTAAGAGTATCTCTTCCGAGTCCCCTCCCCCCCTCCGCACCCATAATGGTGCAGTCCGTCCGTTCGCGCGAAAACTGCATATGGGCGTGGTAATCTCCGAGACAAGAACCCGCCTCCTCCGTACTTTACCACACTGTTACCTTTAGATTAGATTACTTTAGATTTGTGGATTTGATGTCTGTTGTCGCCTGTCTGTGTCTACCATTGTAGGCTATTATAGACACAAATGTTTCTGTATAATTAACAGTTTAAACCGACTTTAAAGATGTACTATTTTGGTGTAATTGTACAAATTTGGTACTTGTACAGAATATTTTCCAGAGTCTGAGAGACTGTGGGCCTTGGAAAAAGGGCGATGGCTTACCTGTTGCTGTTTAGTTAGGCTATTTGTTCCCATAGACACTCAAGCTAAGATAATATTGCTGTTTGACATAACAGACTACACCAAAAAAGTCTTATTAGCAGTAAAAGCAACAGTAAAATGAACCAAATCACACTCATTTAGACTATTCTATGTCGTTTCGATATGATAACTAATCTAAAAACATCTCCCGCTTTGAAGACCTCTGATCTACTCTATTACAATTTATTTAGTTTGGTTGAGTGTATCAGGATCCCCGTAGATATTCTTCAATGGGGTCCACATTAAAGCTGCACAATATGGTGAAAACATCATATTGCGATTATGTTGACGAATTCTTCACGATTATGTGGGAATAGTTATTTTTGCTTCATAAATTTAATTTTCACAAAAAAAAAACAATTAAAATGATGATGATATCAAATGTTTGGGGGTCTGTAGCAAACAAACAGGTTGTGTAGACCAGGGCACCTCTGCAGCTCTACAGTGTTTCATTATAATGCTGTTCTGACACACATTTGACCTTTATCAGAACATTACAGCTCTTGTGATTTGCATATTGGTGTGACATTTTATGATTTTGATAATATTTTGATTAATTGTGCAGCCCTAGTCCACATCAGCTCATATCCCTCATTTCCACTTCATCCTCCACTGATTTGTCAGAAGCCTGCTGGGTTAAAGACTTGTCAGGATGACTGCAAAATGATAGGGGTTTGCAGCATCAGGAAGCCATAGTGCTGCACCCTGGGTCTTAACCACTACTGACTTTATCTCAACACACACACACACACACACACACACACACACACACACACACACACACACACACACACACACACACACACACACACACACACACACACACACACACACACACACACACACACACACACAGCATGGCAGGGAGTGCTTACTGCTTCTCAGCTGGAATAAGCCGGGATGAGACAGAGGCAGCTGTTCACACATTGCAAAATTGTTCTGTCTCCTTCTCCCCTGCTACCACAAAGTCTCTACAATTAGTCTTTCAAATTGAAATGGTGTCCTCTCTTTCTGTCATTCCCTCTCAGTGTTCCCCTCTTTTCTGACCCTCACAATAACATTTCCTACACATCCAAAGGTCTTATAACTGAGGCTGATTCTCTTGTTTTGGGCCATTTCAGGGATAAATGATTTAAATGTTGTAAAACTGTTGTGTCGGGGGTGATCAATGTCCATCAGTAAACATCACTGAAGGATTATGAAACAAAACTTGAAAGGTGTAAATAAGTTTTTAGCACTTTTGACTTGTCAGCCATTTGAGAATGTATTCAACGTATGTTTACTTTCTTAATTATTTGTAAAAAATTTACTTTTTCTCGCACAAAAAGAACATGTTCACATCACATCTTGTACTCAGAAAGTTACAATGGTATAGTCTAATGACACAACCTGTCTGGTAAGTCTTTGAACTAGAGATATTTTGGTTTCTGCTTCATAAAGGTCTGGATTTTTTCTAACTCACAGCAGAATGCGCTTATTCAGGGTTTTTATTAAACCAAGTGCCAGTATTTAGTAGATTATGAAAAACTTAACACGCACACACACACACACACACACACACACACACACACACACACACACACACACACACACACACACTGGATGACTGACAGCTGGTGCAGAAATGCAAAAACACAAAAAAATTAAAGAACCTGCAGGGCATGGGAATCTGTGGATTTAAATGTCTAAAATGATCTGTATTTTGCACAATCAAGGTTTTAATTATTATTACATATAATATTTATATTACTTTTGAGATAGGTGTGGAAATATTCCATTTGGTTAACTGCTGATTACCTACAAAAACAGTCCATATTCTTAAATAAAATCAAAATTACTATTTTCTACAATTGTTAAAACTATCATAGTGATCTGGCAACTGAAAGACTGTAATAGGCCTTAAAACAGAAAGAAAGAAAGAAAAAAATCAAAAGATTGAGCAAACTTTGCTTATTACAAGCAATGAGAACAAGAAATGAGTGTTGTGTACATTCATTAAAATGAAGGTTAGTGAAATTACTTTTTTACTCATAAAAGGATAGATTTGTATGTTTATTGTGGAGGTCGAATGCAGTCACCAGGTTGAATCAGACATATAACTATCTCAGTTGTTATGGACAGGTTATGCGAGATGCACAAACAGAAGGATACATATCAGAACACTGGCCATCATTCCATTTCATCTCGTTTTCATAGTTGTTTAAAACACAGTGTTCGTTGCCTCCAGTGTTGTTTGGCTCTCGAGTACCCCAAAAGACAAAATCCACTGCACAACCATCAGACCACATCCATCTGCCTTCTTTATGGATGTCGCTGAGTCCGATCCACGTTCGTCCCTCAGCGTGGTCAAAGTTCTTGATCAGGGATTTGACGAAAATCTCTTCCTCCAGACTGTGGATAGACACCAGGTTGGCTTTCTCTGACACACAGTGGAGCTCTGCATCAGCCCAGTTCAAACGTGTGGCAACGTACTTGTAGCAGCGGCCATTGAAGCTGTACCAGAACATGGGACAGCTGCCACGCTGTAGCTTCACTGTGCGGTCATCTGAAGGACACACAGCACCCAGCGTGAGACTGAACAAGAGGAGAAACAACAACATGTTGGTGTCAGAGTCTCTGTCACAGGTGTGTGGGATCTAAACAGATGACATGCTGCTTTCTTTTATATGCTTTGGAAGAGGTGGCTGCACAGTTAGTGTGATATTATTGGTCAGCCACATTTGACATGTATCTGAACATAAGTAAAAAGAAAAATCAGCTTGGATAAATCCTATAATTTATTCAAATAATGTATAAGGTGTAATAATCTTTTTGCATTTATACCAAAGGTCAAAAGTGGTGTGTGTTTTGCGGAATAAATGAAGGTTTTTAATAAAACTTTTCACCATGCTTTGCCAATGAGTGCCAGAACAATGTTTCTTTTATGTGACCATGGCCCGGAAATGTTGGTGATAAGTGGTCATAGTCCATCTTTGAAAGATAGTTTTTAATGTAAAAGTTCTGTTTAAAAGCAGGTTTTCACTCTCAGACACTTTGTTATAGTCACATGCTGGTAGTTTACTTGTGATTACAACAGCTGTGATACCTGTGCTGCTCCCATATTTATCTAATACACATAGACAGAAGAGCTTTTTTAATTTTTTTATTTGCAACTGACATTTATAACACAAGGCTCTTCCTCAGACTAATGATAAAAAAAAAACAGAGAGTCACTATCTTAAATACACACAGTCCATCTGGTCATTACATACCTCACCTGTTGCAAATATTCAGACACTGAAATAGTAGAGAAATCTATAAATATGTACATCACATATGTCAATATTTGCTTTGCCTCCAAATGAAGACATTTTAACTCTTAACTAAAATACATTATTGTGGCACATTAGTTAAGCACTGAATAGAAGAATCTAAAGTTGGCATTAGAAGTAAATTAATTGTTTTATTTTCAAATATTCAGACATTCAGACAACTGTTGGTGTGATGTCATTGCTCAAATGCACTTACAAACACTTGTACACAACTACACAGTATCTGAGCATGAGCCAAAGAAGAACACAAGCTTGTTAAAACAGTGAATACACCCTCCTGTTGGTTTCCTGCCCATTACAGCATTTGAAACCAGAGGATAGAGATGGGCATAGTTGCACTGACTTGTTCTTCTGCTGCCCTCAAGTGGCCACAAACACAACAACTACTTTTACATTCCAGCAACGCAGCTTCATACCACAAACATATTTTCTTCCCAAGAATGCCCTTCCACATTGTTGAACTAATGAAGAAGTTATAGTAACTTTTGTCACATCAGATATGTATAGATAAACAATATATTACAATAAATATCTAGTATAGCACAATTATTCTGCTCTTTGAACACAGTGGGCAGAGGTGTGTTTTTGCATGTCTGCGTCATTTAAAATGTCTACCACAAGGCCTTTGACACTTGAACAGATATATGATATAAGAACAGACCATGGCTCTGATTTATCTACTCCAGACAATGACCGTATTTCAATCAGGAGAGTCTTTTTTTTAAATTAACATATATATTTAATTGATACGTGCACAGTGAAGATGAAGAAAAGTCTTTAGACCCCATTGTGACATCATTGTATTTGAAGGGATTGGTGAAGCCATGATTTGTAAAGGAAACACCCTGATGGAGTCTAGAAACTAGTGGTGGTGATGGTGGTGATGAAGGAGTGGAGGGTCGCAATGATTTGACTGAAAGGACATTGTCTGATAGTCTGATTGGTTTGACTGAAAGAGTAAACACTGTCAGCTGATTAGAAAGGGGAGTGAGAGAACTGTGAATGAATGAGGCAATGGAGGTGTTCCTTATAGAACTTACACTGAGCTTCATATAATTAATGGAAAGAGCTTTCTGGGTCTGTGAAGTGAAGCCTAGATGTGTCTTAAACCTGCATTCTTTCTAATGGGCAGCAGGAAGAGCCCCATTGGCATAGGCAGTGCTCATCATATGTGAATCAATATTATGTTACTGCATTGCCTATTTCTCATTTTCATGCGAAGAAAAGATAAGTACCACTCAGAGGGTTGTCAGTGCCTTTTACTCTGGCACTGAGCTTTTAGTTAGCAGTGAAACCACATATAGATGAGTCTACAATTACAGGCCCACTACTGTACATAACATTTGGAAGTATGAGACCTACTCTGTCCTTTGGCACCTGTATGGTATATGTATTAGTCTGGATTTGTTTAGTACATTGGATGGAGTAGTCAGGGAAATAGGTTCATTTCTTTATATCTATTCTACCCATCTATTCTGGCCATATCAAAATTAATTGTATCTCCTGACAAGGAACCAAAGACCTGTTGACATTAAGGCTGAGGTTAGTAATCACTTCGTCTGCATATAGTTCAGTCTCACGTTTTATACATTTTATTTGGATTCCCACTACCTATCACACTGATGCATTAGCATCACAGTCATCAAATGTGTGTTGTCCAACGCTATTTTCTGATGTCTTTTCAAGAGATCTAAACGCAGATGTCACTGTAGTCATTGCACATATTGAAACAGGGTCCAGGAAGTGGTGGGTTTGAAGATTTGAAAATAAATATTTTAATGGAAATCAAAATTCTATTTGAATTTGTATAAAAGCCATAACAACATTATAAACATAATAAAAGGTTTTATTCATACTTACACCTTGAGAAAGCATCTCTTCAAAACTTTATTAACAGTTAAATCACTTTTCTTCTAAATCTATAATTTTTTTAATCTGTCACTAAGGAAAAAAGAAAGATATCAAACATTCATTCAAAATTCATGAATATGAAGGTTAATGGAAAGACTTCTATACATACACTTGCACATTTGTATCTGTATTGTGCCGTCTCAATGCATTACTGAACAGCAACTGGTGGAAATTTACCGAGCTGAATCAGAAACAACCTTCTCAGTTGCTAAGGACATATGCGAGATGCACAAACAAAAGCGAGTTGCCCAGGACATTTTTCATCATTCCATTGCAGCTCTGAGCCAAGGTTTGTGTGTCCACAGTGTTCACGTCCTTTATAGTTGTTGGGCTCTCCTTTCCTCCACAAGACAAAGTCAAGTGCAGACCCATCAGACCACATCCATCTGCCTTCTTTATGAATGTCACTGAGTCCAATCCAGGTCCATTGATGAGCAGGGTCGAAGTTCTTGATCAGGGAATTGACAAAGTTATGTTCCCGCAGACTGTGGATAGACACCAGGTTGGCTCCCTCTGACACACAGTGGAGTTCTGCATCAACCCAGGACATACGTGTGGCAACGTACTTGTAGCAGCGGCCGTTGAAGCTGTACCAGAACATGGGACAGCTGCCACGCTGTAGCTTCACTGGTTGGACAAGTGATGGAGACACAGCACCCAGAGTCAGACCAAACAAGAGGAACAGGATCATGTTGGTGTCAGAGCTTCAGTCTCTATTTAAGTCTTTGGAGTATCTGATCGGCACTGTTGGACGCTGTCAATAACCTTGCAGGAACAGTTGAAAAGCCACTGTCTTTTATACGCTTCAGAGAAAGTGTGATATCTGTTGGTGTGACATCATTGGTCAAATGTAGGGGTGTGTCTGCAATGAATCACACTGTTGCTCAATTCAGTTTTGCTGCTGCACTTTGCTATACCTACAGCTCATGGTTGCTAATATTAGTAAACTTTAGGTAAATATAGCTTTATAACAGACAGATAGTTTTCTGACTTTACCACTATTTTCCACTTGGACTGCCATTGCATTAGCTTAGCTTTTTTATCTAAATGCTAAATTACTGTTTGGCTCAATGCTAAACAGCTAAACAGTTATTTGGAATTTAGTTTTGTGATATAACTGGATAAGCCACAGTCACTGCTGTTCAAAAAAAAGGTTACATATTTGCTTTTTGACTCATAATCCACTCATTATCTTCACTGAAAAACAAGAATCTCAAGACTACCATGTAGCCTCAAGCAACAATTCCAGTACAATAAACAAACTGGGTGGTAAAAATTAACCAGGACAGGAAAACAAGGAAATAAAAGACAATCAATAACTGTTCAATAATAATAAAATGGTTGTTTGGACTTCAGGAGAACTCTAGTGTTTGTTTTTTTATGATACAATTATGTTTCTGTTGTATCATAATGATGCTTAACAACATTATCACAATATCAAACGAAATAGGCCTGAGCTATAAAAAAGAAAGCTTATATACTATTCCTCACAAATCTACTTCTGATATCATAAAGATGTTGTCGGTTCCTTTTTTTTTGACACTGAACTTTTCATTGCAGATGTTTTGGTGGAAATCACCAATAATTTTGTGTATGTGTAAATGAAATAACATAATTATTATCCCCAAGCAATCCTTATTTATTAAAGGTGCAGTATGTAACATTTAGGAGGATCTACTGGCCGAAATAGAATATAATGCTACCAACACGACCAACATTATCACCAAGGCCGTCATGCCAATTTGTTTAAGCGCATAAACATCCGCAAGGCATCTGGGCTAGATGCATCCTGGGCCGGGTGATAAGGGTGTAACGCAGCTAGCTGGTGTGTTCACAGACATATTCAACCTCTCCTTTTCCATACATGTGGTCTTCTTCTGATTCAAGCCATCCACTATTGTTCTGGTACAGAAAAAATGCAACAGATCTACAGACATCGGCATAGCCTCAAGTCTCCACACCGACCTCACCCACCTGGAGAAGAGGAATATGTGAGGATGCTATTTGTCGTTATAAGGAGTTCGGTCTAGACCTGCTCTATTTGAAAAGTGTCCTGAGATAACTTCTGTTATGAATTGGCGCTATACAAATAAAATTGAATTGAATTTGTCACAGGCCTTGGGCTCAACCCACAGCTCCAACTTGGTGGTCAAGTTTGATGATGACATCAGAGTGATACGCCGGAAGAAGTCATCAACCTAACACTGTGGTGACAGAAGAACAGCCTGACTCTCAATGTCAACACAAACCAAGGAGCTGATCGTGGATTACATGAGGACAGGAGAGAAGCCGGACCCCATCACCATCCGAGGGTCTGCTGTAAAGAGAGTCAGCAGCTTCAAGCTCATTGGTGTTCACATCGTAGAGGACCTCACTTTGGATGACCAAACTGAACATGTGGTGAAAAAGCAGCAATCCTGTGGTCTTTTAAAACAGTTAAATATGAGAAATTACCCCCATGACTTTATTCATATCCTTCCAGACCTTGATAGACATACGAAGTATTAAATTTTCTACTGATTTAGAATGAAACTTCTTTTAGCTTTTGAGCACTACTATGACCAGCTATATAACATTTGGAAATGGTAGACCTCCTCTTACTCTGCCAGCTTTAAGATATGTACAGTACATATAGATGCAGGACTCAATGTGACATTTGTCACTGAAAAAAATCTAAAGGTCAATTGTTTTTACAGTGAACTGAAAATGTAATTGAATTGAAATTATCATTATCTGGAACGAAAACATCATAGTCCACTGGGAAACGTGCATGAGGAGTGTTTGAATAAAAATTAACCAGGAAGCTCCTATATAGTTATATTTTTATTGCATCGTAACAATACAACGTTATCACAGTGTCAAACAAAAATAGGCCTAAGCTATAAAAAGACAGACAGACAGACAGACAGACAGACAGACAGACAGACAGACAGACAGACAGACAGAAAAAAAACACCCCAAACTATAAACAGAAAACAAAAATGCCACCCCTCCCTCCCGGGTACAATAACACATCCTCATATTAGGGACATTCGCTGTTAGTTACCAGCACTCCATCCGTGCAATCAGAAAAAAACATGCATCCCAGAGAAACGGAGAGGTTCTATCAAATCACTTAGAAAGGCAATGATTGATGGGAAGGAATCATTTAATAAGGTCTTTCAGTGAATCAGCTGCAGAGCACCAATTCTTTATAACTGGACTCACTAGGTCCATTTGTTGACAACTCCAGATAATAACATGTAGAAGTGTGAGGAGCCAGTGACTGGTGGTAAGGGAGGGGGCTTCCATCGTACAGCTATCATCTTTTTATCAGGCCAGCTCGTAGGACGTGCATCTTAAGCTAAGTGATATTGAGCTTTGATAGACCATTTCTCACTGATAGCAAGTCAGACATAAACAACATAAGGGATCATTTATCATTTTCATACAGTGGAGTCTGTTAGAAATGTTCTATAAGCACAGTTAAAATGAAAAAATGTTTTCCATTACACACCAAATAAAAAAAAAAGTTGACTAAATTTTAGTTAACTAAAATGTGTGTCATACGCTACGTCCTGACCTGACCTCAATAGCAGTGACTTCTGGTCTTAAATCTCCCTGGCTAGAGTAGTTATGAATATCAAATCCCCAGAAATTGAGGAAAATAGAGAATTTAATAGTGTATGGACAGATTAATTGTCTTTCACCATCAACGCTACTGGCTTACTTCTACGTTTGATCTGCGATTAGGGATGAGCATTATATGGCTCAAATATGTGTTGTGGCTCCAGATGGATTTTTATTTTCATTTTTGGCTCAAAATGGCTCTTTTGATAGTAAAGGTTGCTGACACCTGTGCAAGACTAAACACCATCTCAGTTGAAATCCAGGTCTAAATCTGTCACGTCTCCTGAGTACATTCTTCTTTTCTCATTGCTTAACTTATCTTATTATGTCCATTACTGCTCTGTTAGCTATTCTCAAAACATGAAACAAAACTGTGAATGAATGAATTATAAATATCTCAATGTGTCCAAGATCAATGAAATGTGATTGAGAAGTGTTTGACTAAAAATGAACCAGGACTCTAAAATGAAAACAAGGAAACGAAAGACAAAAAATAACCGTTAACCACTTACCAATAGTTGTTGAACTCTAGTTCTTGTTTTCCATTTAATTATAGTTTTATGGGATCATAACAACACTTATCTAACTATCTATAAGCTATAGCTATAAAAAATACAGAAAAACAGACAAACATAAAAAAGTTTATGGATTACCCTTACTGATATAGACAAATCAACTTCTGATGTCTAGTCTACAGTAATGCCAGGAACATTTCAATCCAATGTGTCCTTCACCCTTTCCAAGTCACCATCCAAGGGTCTGCTGTAAAGAGAGTCAGCAGCTTCAAGCTCATTGGTATTCACATGGTGGATAGCAGTGACTTCTGGTCTTAAATCATTCTTCTTTTTCTCGTTGCTTAACTTCTCTTAATATTATGTCCATTACCGCTCTGTTAGCTATTCTCTAAACATGGAACAAAACTGTGAATGAATGAATTATAAATATCTCAATGGGTCCAAGACAAACTGTATCCTGTGTTGGGACCACTGAGACCTTTAAATATAAATTCTTTCATTTGGTGTGACCCTACCGGCAAATTCATATAGTGTGTTTTGTATGTTTTGCGTTTATTATATTTTTAATAAATGCTTGTGTTTATACATGCTGGCGTGTTTAATATCATCCAAGAATGGGTGATACCAACCTTTTCTATGTAGAAATTTCAAATTAATAGTTAAGTGTATTTTATGAGAATGAATCACTCAATTATTGGCTGTCATTTCCAAGGGTGGTGGCCCGAGGAACTTTAGTATTAGTTAAGTTATTATTTATCATCTTTGATAATTGAACATTTTGATTACACTAACACAGTGTGGTGTACCTTCAAACCCCAACCAATGGTGCCGCTGAGTTAACCATAGTACCAACAGAGTGTAAATTAGTGTGCTCAAAGATAAGACAAAAATGTTTTGGTGGAAATCCAAAAGTATTTTGAACTTGTTTAAAAGACATAACAACGTTACTGTCATCAAAGAATACCTTTATTCATGAGTTATATCTGAGATAGCATTTTTTCTATTCGTTATTCTGAACAGTTAAATGACCTTTTCTTCTAAATGTATAACATTTTCTATGGCTCATTGAAGAAAAAAGAAAAATTTGAGACATTTATTTGACATTTGAAAATTAAAGCTAATGAAATTATTTCTGTATACATACACATGCACATTTTTATCTTTATCTTTCAGTCCCTGAGTTGAATCAGAAAAAAAACTCTTGTTTGCTAAAGACAAACTGAGCGGTTTTCACAAACAAAAGTATGTTGATGAGAACACGGAAAATCATTCCATTTAAAATTTGTGCCAAGGTTTGTGTGTCCACAGTGTTCAATTCCTCCAGCGTTGTCTGGCTGTCCTGCATCCCAATGGACAAAGTCAACTGCAGACCCATCAGACCACATCCAGCCTCCTTCTTTCTGAGTGTCGCTGAGTCCAATCCAGGTAAATCCTTGGGCAGGGTCAAAGTTCTTGATCAGGGAATTGACAAAGTTATGTTCTTCCAGACTGTGGATAACCACCAGGTTGGCTCCCTCTGACACACAGTGGAGTTCTGCATCAGCCCAGGTCATACGTGTTGCGA